CTCTGCACTGGAAACACCTGTCCCCCTTCAGAGCCCTGCCTAAGGATGTCCACTGTCCTCACCTGGGCCTCTCTGCCCTTCACAGCACTTACTGAATGGTCCCCAACTTAATCTTCCCCAGCAGCCGTGTAACACAGGGCCATATCCCTCCATCTCTGAACTCCATGCCAGGTCCACAGTATCTCTCCAAGGACACCAGGTGAGCCACCGGGATCTCATGTTCCAAGAGTCTTTGCTCTAGAGATTCAAAGATTGGTGTTTCCAACCAAAACAGAAAGGGGATCCTGACTGTAAGTACAAGTGTGTGGGTGTGCCACATGCACAGGGGGCATTCGGGAATGTGCTGGAACCCCAAGGACGTGATATTGACCTGGGCAGCTGTGCTCAGCCCGGAAGCACCTCTGCACACTTGACAGCGTGGGCTGAGTCTCCCTGAGCCACACAGTGAGGGCCCAGGGCTTGATCCCCTTTGGGCCACCTGCACAGGGTGCTGCTCCACCAAGCTCCATTCTGAAGTCTCAGGCACCCCTGCCCCACTCAGCCAGCTGTCCTTTGTGTCCCCTTGCATCCATTTACATGCCCAGCATTATGCCTCTCACTCCCACCCTGCATGCTGGGGTCCCCAAGCTGTGGGAGGAGAGCCCCGGGCCCTGCTTCTTTGCAGCTCCTTTCACCTCTCCTGCTCCCCCATGGCTCTCACCTTGCAGCCTCCTCAGCCTCTGAGGAGCCCCATCTCCTGGTGGCCAGGAAACAACCCAATTCAGACAGGAACCTCTGGCCTCTAGTTCCCCAGCCCCTGGACCCTTCCTGTTCCGGGTGGACACCACGCCTTGCCTTCTAGGTCCCATTGTTTCCCCTTTACTACCTGCACCATCTTGCACGCCTCCTGCCTTCAGAGACAGTAAACATCGAAACTCTTCCACCCAAATGCCAACACACAAAACCCCAGCTAGTCCTTGGGATGCAGTCCGTCCTTCCTTTTGTAAAACACTGTCAAGTGTAGTGCCCCTGGCTGCTAGGACATCACAGTCTGGTTTCCCTCCTCCTTCCTAGACTCTCCCCTGCTCCATTGGCCACTCAACGCTGAGATTCTCCTCCTTGGCCTCCCAAGTGTCCCAGGCATCTCGTGCACACTCATGTCTTCACCTGCACCTGCACACGGGTGACCCCCACCCCTATCTCAGCTCAGACCTCATTCCTGAACTCCAGGGCCATACGCTCACGGGGTCCCGGATGCCCCAGATGACTCAGACCCAACACATCCCAAATTGACCCATAGCAGCAGATGAGACACAACCCAGAATGTGGGAGTCACCCTGGGCTCTTTTCGCCCCTTCTCCTGCCCTGCCAGGTGCAGTGGGTCATGTACTAATGCAGGGCCAAGTTGTGGCCGTATAAGGAGAATTGCCTGGAAAGCTTGCCAAACATAGCTTCCTGGGCCCTACCCCTGACTTGCTGAATCCAGAGTTCCAGGGATGGGGCCTACGAGTCTGAATTTCTAGAAGGCTCCTCTGTGTTGCTGTGAGGACTGGGGTTCAGGCCTCTTCTCTAAGCCACCTCCTCCCATGTCCACCAGCCGTGGTACCACTGCTTGCCTATCCTGGGCATCTGCTTCCTCCTGGCAGCCCCTCCCATCCATTCTCCACACTGAAGTGGCAGCCACTTCACCAAAAAGCAATAGGACCACAGCTCACCTCTGCCTAAAAGCATGTGCCCCCCACTCTGAGAACACTGCTTCTGGCCCTGTGTGCTTAGTGGGATGACTTCTGCTCACCTCCTGCCTTACCCCTTCAGACTCTGCATGGGTCGCCCGGGTATATGTGCTGTTATAGCTCCTGTCTTTACATACACGGTCTTTTCTTTTTTTAAAGATTTTTATTCATTCATGAAAGACACACACAGAGGGAGAGGCAGAGACACAGGTAGAGAGAGAAGCAGATTCTATCCAGGGAGCCTGACGTGGAACTAAATCCCAGATCCCGGGATCACGCCCTGAGCTGAGGGCAGATGCTCAACTGCTGAGCCACGCAGGTGTCCCCACATGGTCCTTTCTGACCATATGCCCCTAGACAGGCCTATGTCTCAACCCAGGCCTGGATAACTGCCTGCCTCCCGGGCTCCATCAGTCCACACAGTGATCACAGACATTCTAGGTTCCCCCGTAGCTAAACAGTGGACCCTCAAGACAGGATATAGTGGTGCCAACCCAGAGCTGAGCCCAGGTCCCAGCTCAGAGAGCTGGTTGGCAAGAGTTAGTGGGCAGGAGAGTAAAGCAGGAGAAGGAACGGGGGCTGGCAGGGAGGCCCAGGCCTCGAGCTGATCTGTTACCAGCAGGGACCTGGAGGTAGGTCCTGAGGCTGGCCCCACAGGAGCCTTGCAATGGTGTTTTCTGCTCTCTCCACGCTGGGTTCCACCCCACCTCATAAGCAGCCAGGCCAGTGACAGGAGCTTGCCCTCCTCTCCATGTGCTCCCCGGTGAAGGAGCTTCCAGGAAGGTGAGGTTTGAGGCTTCCAGGAAGTCCTGGCCCCTCCTGTACCCTGACCACCTCCAGACTATATGAGTAAGAACAGGAGGCTCACAAGGACCCTAGGACCACCTCACATGTGAATGCTGAACTGGCCCGCCTTCCCCATTCCTGGACTCTGCTCCCATGCTTGGCTTGTGCTGGGAAGATGCACCACCATCTTGCTGTCATGGCAGTCCCAGCTGGATGGTGGACCCTGTCACCTGGCACCTCTGCCCATCCCTCTGTTCCTTTACCATGATTCCTCCCCCCTTTGCCCATCCACTGCCTCTGCTACAAGACCTGCTGGTCACATGATGCCTTATCCATAGCCCTCTGACCATTCTCAAGGGCTTTCCCTGTGGTCCCGAGTCCCCCGTGTTGACCCCTAGGCCCTCCCTGGCCCTGCTCTTTTTTTTTTAAACAGAGACTTCATATGATTTTTTTAAGGTTTTATTTATTTATTCATGAGAGACACACAGAGAGGCAGAGACATAGGCAGAGGGAGAAACAGACTCCATGCAGGGAACCCGATGTGGGACTCCAGGATCAGGCCCTGGGCTGAAGGCAGAGGCTTAACCGCTGAGCCACCCAGATGTCCCTCCCTGGCCCTGCTCTTAAGATGCAGAAGCCTTATGGGGAGCAGTGTTGGCTGGGGTAGGGGCTTGCCTAAGCTGGGTGACACCCCTGTTTTGCCCCCTCACTGTAGAGATGCCAGTCCCTCTATGAAGTGAGTCTGATTCGAAGGCCACCTTATCTTCTGCCTCCCACACTCAGGATCAGCTACATAATTTGTGGATCCCAGTGCAAAATGAAAATGCACATCGTTCAAAAATGATGAAGAATTTCAAAATGAACCAACCACCAGGTCCACCTAAGCACGTGGGCCTGTGTGACTGCTGGCGTCTCAGCCCGATAAGCCCAGCCCTACCCACATCTCTTTCCAGCTGGTGACGGTCTCTCCGCCCTCTCTTATCCTCAGCTGCTTTCTAAGACAGATCCTCGGGGCCCCAGCGCGGGAGCCCAGCCCCAGCCCCCTGCAGACGGCAGAGCCCTGTTCACCAGGTGGTCAACAGAATCCTGCAGCCCTCTGGGGGTCTTCCGCCCACACGTCCCCCGGGCTGCAAAGCACTTACATCCTCTCAAATCAATGCTTATTTATGGAGCCCCACCTGGCAGAGCTTGAGCCAGAGAGGAAAAGATGATGAACATTCAGTCATTGCCCCATAGGAGCTCAGGTGATAGATAGCAGGGATACTATCTGGAACAGAGCAAAATACTGGAACAAGAGCAAAACCAAACACGGATCCTGTGGGTTCAGAGAAAATTGATTTGCTTAGGAAACTGAATATCACAGAGGAGAGCTTAGAGATGGACTTGAAGAAAAAAAAAAAAAAGAGATGGACTTGAAGGAATGGGCATGATTTTAGGACCTCAGACAGGAAAGCAAAGGGGCATTCCAGGGAGAGGGCACGGCACGGGCAGAAGTAGCCTCGGGAAAGTGTGTAGCTGGTTCTAGAATCCTGAGTTGTGCAGTTTGGCTCAGGCATGGATGATGGTACAGTGGACAGGGACTTGGGGTCAGCCATGCACGCTCCAAGCAGCCAAAAAGTGGTGTATCCTCTTGCTGGGGACACTGAAGGGGGTGTTAAGCATGGTGCACACTTGGGAGCAACGGGAGAAGACAAGGGAACCCCTCTGCAGAATGCAAGCCACACTTCTCTGCAGAACGGGCTGCTCCTACCAGGGTGCAGGTCCCGAGGCTGTGCGGCCTAGGCGGCCTCCTGCCCCTCGCGCCCTGGGCGGGGGTCATGGGACTGCGGCTTTCCCTCCCCTGCCATCGCTCTCATTGGTCGCGGGTGTGTGTGCGGAGGGGGGTTGCGGAATAGGATCCAGCACTGAGTCGGGGTACAGCCGCTGCGCACGCCCGTAAGGTGAGGCCGGAGTGGGGAGAGCGCGGCTCGCCACTCTGCTGGCCCCACCATACATTGCGTTTTCACTTTATATTACGGTTATTCTCGGGATCCCTGGGTGGCGCAGCGGTTTGTCGCCTGCCTTTGGCCCAGGTTGCGATCCTGGAGACCCGGGATTGAATCCCACGTCGGGCTCCCGGTGCATGGAGCCTGCTTCTCCCTCTGCCTGTGTCTCTGCCTCTCTCTCTCTCTCTCTGTGACTATCATAAATTAAAAAAATATATACATATATATATTACGGTTATTCTCAAAGTGCACACAAGTAGAGAGAATGCTGCAGTGCTCCTCCACGACCCTCCCCTCCCCGCCCCGCCCCGCTGCGCCCACCCTCCCCTAGGGCCCTCCCCCAGCTGCAGGAGCGCGGGCGCCAGGGGCGCAGCACCGAGGCGGGGTGCGGGCCGCGGGGGGCGGGGGCGGAGAGGGGGCGGGGCGGGGGGCGGGGCGGGGGGCGCCCTCCCAGGGACTCCGGGCGCGCGGGCCGGGCGCCGAGAGTCAGTCTCCGCCCTGCAGCCCGGAGTGAGCCCGCCGCACCGCAGCCGTCCGCCCGCCCGCCCGCCGCCCGCCGCCTCGCCATGCCCAACTTCGCCGGCACCTGGAAGATGCGCAGCAGCGAGAATTTCGACGAGCTCCTCAAGGCGCTGGGTAAGCGGGCGGGTGGGTGCGCGCCGACGAGGACGAGCGGCTCCGGGGTGCCCGGGCCCGCAGGCTCCGGGACCGGCCCAGGCGGAGGGAGTCCCCGGGGCGAGGGCGAGGGCAAGGGGAGCGTGCCAGGGCCACCCGGGGGCGGCGGTGAGGGGAGCCCCGAAGCCGCGCGCCGTCCCCCCCACCCCCCCGACGGCTCAGCCTGTCTGCGCTGGGTCAGCGCGAGGAGGACTCTCGCTGGAGTCCAAGCAGGAGCAGGGACTTGCCATTTGGAGACTCGCTGTGAGGCCGGGCCCGGCCACGAATTCATTGCGCTGCTCAGGGAAAGCCACTTGCCCTCGCTGAGCCTCAGTTTCTCCTCCCGAAAATTGGGGCGAGGGTTAGGGGAGGCGTGGGTACGCTTTGCGGCCAGGTCTCGCGGCCGGGGGTCCGGTGGCGCAGCCCTCGTTGCCCTGCAGGTGTGAACGCCATGCTCAGGAAGGTGGCGGTGGCGGCGGCGTCCAAGCCGCACGTGGAGATCCGCCAGGACGGGGACCAGTTCTACATCAAGACGTCCACCACGGTGCGCACCACCGAGATCAACTTCAAGGTCGGCGAAGGCTTCGAGGAGGAGACCGTGGACGGACGCAAGTGCAGGGTGAGGCCCCAGAAGCGGGCGGCGTTCCGGGCGCGCCCCCTCCACGCCCCGGGCCGCCGCAGCCCAACGCGCCCCTGCCTCCTCCTGCAGCTGGGCCGTGCTTCCCTTCAAGGGCGGGCAGAGAGGGTTTGCAGAGAGGGTTCTTCGTGCGAGCGGCTTGCCCTGGGCTCGGGAGAGGGGCCTCCCCAGCGCGCCCCCACCCACCCCGAGCCGCCTCCTCCGCGCTCACAGCTGCTCCCGGAGCGGCGGGGAACCCCGGGCGGCGGCGTCCGCAGCGGGTGCGGGCTAGGGTATGGATGAGGCTGTGGGTGCAGGCGCCGGTACCGGTGCGGGTGCGGGCGTGGGACCGCGGGGGTGCGGGTGCGGGCGCTGGTGCGGGGGGTGCCGGTACCGACGCGGGCGGGAGGTGGGTGCGGGGCCACGGGGGCCGTGCGGCAGCCACGTCTCCTGTCGCAGGTGGAGCACCAAGCGCCCGCGCCCTGACACCCCCCCCCCCCCCCCCGGGGACACCCTGGATCCAGTTTCAGCAGCCTTGTGAGCCAGCAAGGTCGACCTCTCCGTGCGACCCTCAGCCTGGTTTCTAACAGGAAAGGCGGGATCCTTACAAAAGCAAGGCAGATTCTGGCTGGGAAGATGGATTAAGTGCTTTAGTCCTCAAGGGCCAGAGTTTTGCATTTCTATGTATATTGGCCCCAGGGATGAACCAATGGAGTGAAGCAGCGGTTGTACATTCCTTTCTTAGATGGGCAAAAATTACATCTGGTTGAATAGAATGGTCAGTTAGTCCTGTATTTTGAGCGCAGATGGAAAAATTGTCGCTGCTGCTACCACTTATTTAAAAAGTGACAAAATGTCTCCCTCTCTTTCCCGTGTGAAAAACAAAGAAATGCTAATAATGTTCCAGAAAGTGAGGAATTAAGTCTCCCCTTCCCTAAGTGGTGCCTGTCTGATCTGCGGAGTGGGACTCTCTGGGCTCTGGATTTGGGAGGAGAACACACAGACACGGCCACAGGAGCTGGCCCACAGAACCCGAGTGGCCAGAAAGCCATGTCCAGGCTTAGAGCTGGCAGAATCTGAGCCGCTCTCCACTGCACTGTTAGAAAACACAAAAGAGTGGTTGGGGGTAGTAAGAGTGAACATCTTGGAATCACGGGGAGAAGGCCTGACAATTGGCAGGGCTCAGGTGGGGACATCCAGCTACCGCCAGAGATGGTGATTCCGGTAAAAATCAGGTTCACACGCCGGCCTGGCAAGTGTCAGAAAGTAAATATGTGTGCATCCCAAATCGGTCTCCCACCCCAATGTTGAGCACTCTGTTTTGTGCAGACTGGGGAAAACCCCACCTCCCACCTCCAGGAGCATCAGATTGTTTTGTCTTTGGGACCTAGCCTGGAAAGTGGTTGTGTTTTATCTTTAGAGCTAACGACACTTGGGTTTATCAGAGCAGTGAGTGTGCTGCATCTGATGCGTGCACACAGAGAGGAGGGTGTTATCCCCAACTCTGTGCAGTGGAGAGGGCTTTGGATCTGCTGGCTGTGGTGTCTGAGTGGTCCTACAATAGTACAGTTGATGGGAAAGTTCTTGTCCTTAATACCCCAATTGCTTGAAGTGATAGTCCATTCTGACATAAATTAATCACTGCGTGCTGTAAATGTTATTACTGGAGATGTAAAGCATGCCTCAAGCGTTGCTGGTTCCCCTGAGTGTGTGTGTCTGTATGTGATGGGGAAGCTTGGGGGGATACAAGGTAATATTTATTCCCCATAAAACCTGTGACCGGCCGCCTCTGAATCTGTGGACCCCATAGGGCGCAGCAGAGGGCTCTGTGCCCTGCTGACGGGGACCATGTGCTGCTTCTCTCCATAGCAGTGACTCTCCGGAGCTCACTGTTCTCTCGATTCCTGCTGCCAAGACTGTAATTAATGTCACTAATGGTTTTCCTGCCCACAGAGTTTGGCCACTTGGGAGAACGAGAACAAAATCCACTGCACACAAACTCTCCTTGAGGGGGATGGCCCCAAAACCTACTGGACCCGCGAGCTGGCCAACGACGAGCTCATCCTGGTGAGGTCATGGACCCCTAAATCAACCCCACAGCCCTAGATGATGCCTACAGTGGGCCACGCAAATGCTTTACCCTGGGTTAAAATGTGAGCGGAAAGCTCGAGGTGACAGTTTAGGTCACAGGCAATCATCGTTCCATGGTGTGGTTGGGAGGAGCGTGGATCAGGGGCACAGCAGGGCTATGACAGGCTGCAGTGTCCTCCCTGTGCATCCAGTGGAGCCTTGGTGGATTCTCCGAGCTGTCCTCCCCCTTGACCCTACCCTGGCTGTGAGGCCCCAGGGATTTTCACTCTGCATAGGGATTTTTCCCCCCTTCTCACTCCTCATTTTGCTGCCAGGGAAAGATTTCAGGAATTTTAGCACGTCAGCACTGGGAGCCTCAGAGAGCATTTTTACCCTTAGACTTACCAACAACGGAGGCCTTCAGGGGCCAGGCGAGTTGTGCTGATGGGGGAAGGGTCTGAGTGAAACACGGTGTGGGGCTAGGGGAAGGGTGGGCCCCACCTGAAAGGCATTCAGATTAAAACATTTTAAACATTCCTGGCCACACAAAATTCACCTGGTGAGTCCAATTTAGAAACCCCCACCGTTTAATCACACACCTCCTTGTCCTTTAGGTGTGGGGGCAAAGGAGGTTGGCCAGGACAGGGGAAGGCTCAGTACCTCTTCTTTTGTGTTTCAGAGTAGACCAGGCTTTCCCTGCAGCAATCCCACCCCTGCCAGACCCACCCACACACATGCACACATCCCCACACATGCATGCACGTGTGCACACACACACACACCAAGTGTACACGCACACACATGCACACAAACTCAAGAAAAGGGAAAAGCCGTGTAGGTAACCAGGAAATGATATCCTTTGTTCTCCATCAGGCATATTGTTACCATGTTCCCTCCAGGACCGCCTGAGGCCCCATCTTAGCAGTGTTGGGGAGGGAGCCTGCAGAGTGGGGTAGCCTCCCTGTGTGACCTGGGCGTGGCTGCTCCCTCCCAGGGGCTGTAGAGTGAGGGCTGACACTAAGTCTGATCACCCGGCTGCTCTCAGCCCTGAAATTGCACGTTGATCCTGAGAGCAGACCCTGAATGGAGCCGTCTCCATTAGTTTAACTGGGGCTGTTTGATCTTAGGCTCTCCTCTTGTCCTCCTCTGCCGGATTTCATTTTGAGCACTGTCTGCTTTCATAGAGAAGGGGACTGGCTTACTTTGCAACCTGGTGAATGCTGTTTCTAGGAAGGAATACTTGATGGGATTGGAGGAGGAGTTTGAGGCTGAGATGTGGAACTTAAGAGAAAAAGGAACAGAACAAAAGGTTCACTGGTACGAGAGTTCTGGAGCGTGGCTGCGGGTTGAGCAAGCTTGGCTTGCCACGAGAAAGTATGATTTTATTAACCTGGTAACATGCAAGCAACCAGAGCACACTGCTGCACGGTGCCTCCCTCCCCACTTCCACCCCTGCATCCTTCCCTGGCTCAGCCGACCAGACAACCCTCTAAGGGCGCATTAATCCTTGGCATTTGAGACCTGAAATATGGGCTTTTATTTCAAGGGTTGTTATCGTTAATAAATCCAAAACGCAGGGAGATGCCATCTCCTTATAACAAGAGGCAAATTATCCTAGTTAAGTTGAAATAAGTGCTCCCTGTGCCAACAGTAAATTGTCCCCCGGGGGCTGTAAGCTGCCTTCCATGAAAACAGACTATCTTCCCTCAAACCACCCTGGAACATTTCTAGAGTTTCTTGCAGCAGTCTTTCAGTACGGGTGCTGGCTGAGAAAGACGTTTCAGATATGGTTGGAAATGTGATTTCTTCTTGTGTCGGCCTGTGGGAGGTGTCAGATACGAGGATGGTCAGATCCATGGAAGGAGTCAAACCCCAAACACTCCATGGTTGTAGAGCTGAGAGGTTGGCACATCTAGAGGTGAATGATGGTGGGAACCCCTGCCTTCCTCCCAGCACAGAATCAGGTGCAGACAGAGGAGGTGTCCAGAGCAAGTACACCTGGGCCGGTATGAGCAGCTAGCTCCCTACTTGGAAAAGGAGTTGGTGATGGACATTTGCTTCTGAGTATCACTCATGACTAGTATTTCCCTGAGACACACGTTGGCATAATATCTTAGCACCTGCTCCTTGATTGCCTCTCAGCTTGATTGCCAGCTGACAGTCCAGGGCAGGCAAAGGTCCAGGTCTATCCAGGCTCTCAGCCTCTCCCAGGCCTCATGCCCCTTTGAGAACTACAGAGCTAGGGATGCTCCTACTGAACGGTGTACATCTGCAGACATGCCTGCATCAGATCTACAGAACAATTTTGATTTTTGGTTTTGTTTGTGAAACAAACATACCGAACTGCCTGTGGGAGCCCAAGAGAGCAGGCCTGTGAATAATTGCTAGTTTGGGGGAGTTTTGATAGTTTATTTACAGGCGACACCATTTTAGGGGCCAGAAGGAAAACCTCCATCTGTGGAATGGCTTGTGCCTACAGCACAGCAAACAAAGAGCCGTAAAATTTTAGCTGGAAAGAGACTTTGGGATCATCCTGTTGGATTCCACCCATCTGAAACCCTTCCTTTCCACTCCAAACCAGCAAGAGGCAGGGCAGTGCCCAGTGTGCCAGCTGTATGCTGCAGAGCTGGGTCTGGGAGCCAGCACTGGGCCTTTACAGCTCAGACCAGTTTTCTGGCTTGTGGGTGACTTGAGGGTGGGCAGCTGCTCCCTGGAAGGTGCTTCTGCGCTCTCCTCAACAAGGCCCCATCTCACTGGTCAGCACAGGACTCTTGCTCTCCTGAAGTCATGTGAAGGGACAGAGCCACTTTAGAAATGTCCAGTGTGACATCTTCCCCTTTCAGTTTAATTTTTCAAACCAAGTATTTATGTCAGTATTCGCAGGCTCCAGAAACAAAGGGAAATTACATAGAATTCTACACCACAGCTGCCTCTCTGCCAGTACGGAGCTTAAGGGAGGAAAAAAAGAAAAAGAAAAAAAGACCTTAGCAGTTAGCATGAACACATGGCACAGGAAATTGAATGTCTGTTACAAAGAGTCTTTAACGGGGCCGTAAGCGGCCTTATTAGTGATACGCTTTAAACGTATCTGCACAGGCATCTGCTCTGATTGCTTTTCCTTCTCTACAGACGTTCGGCGCCGATGACGTGGTCTGCACGAGAATTTATGTTCGAGAGTGAAGGCGGCCGGCTTGCTCCTGCTTTGGGGGTGGGATGCATGTTCCCCTGAGAAATGTCCTTAGGTCTGAGTTGCCGGGGACCTTCCCTTACCCTGTTCTCCCCATGCCGGTGGTGTTGTGCCTCCCCCAGAGCCCTGTTCTCCCTGTGCTGGTGGTGTGGTGCCCCCCTCCCCAAAGCCTCTGTGCCCCTACCCCTGGTGCTCTGTAGTTTGGCATCTGCATGGTTCCACCCATCATTAAACTGGTTGGCCACATTTCAAGGCTCTTCCTTTCCTTGAGCTGCCTCTTCAGTTTCAGCATGGGTTACTGTGCACCTGCGGTCCTTGGCATTGCACTGCCCTGTGTGGTGTCTTCAGTGTCAGCCTGCTGCCTGGGTCCCCTGGGTGGAGCATACAGGCTCCTTCCAGCTGGATCTAGACTGAGATCCAGGTGTTTTTGGGCTTCATAGCGTTGTCCACTAGAATTAGTCTGTGTCCTAGCAGGAAAGGGAGGGTACATTCAAAAGGTATATTGAGGGGATCCCAGAATAAAGGGATAGTTTACATAGGCACTGACATGGATAGGATGAAGAGGATCAGAAAGGATGGGGTGGCCCTCAGACTAGCAACAGAGGAGCTGTTACCTGCTGTGCCTGCAAACAGAAGGCACACAGAACCCCAGATCATAAGAGCTATAGCCCAGGAGAGAGGCCACCATATAGGAGCTGTGGCTGTGCGTGGAAGAACGTAGCCACTGTCCAAACCATGGCCCCAGTGACATAAGGGGTGGGAGTGGGCGTGGAGTTTGCCTTGGAACTCCACGCCCTCCCAGGGTTAAGTATCCTGACCTCCCAGCTTTCCATCTCTGATCTACCCATGCTGCCCACTGGCCACACCCAATTGGAATCCAAGGGCCAGTGAGGTGCTGTCCTCGAGAGTCACCCTTCCTGAACACTGCCAGGCACAGAATGGATCTGAACATGTACGTGGACAACACTCCACAGTTGCCAACTCTTACATTTTAAAATGAGGGGATTTCACATAAAAATCTAGATTTGTTTCCTTAGGAGAAAAATTGGGAAAATCTGGCATCCCGGAACTGACATTCCCACAGGGCTAACAGCTCCCCCTCCTTTTATGTGGACCTTGTATTGTCTATCTCCCCATGGTTCCTGCCCTCTTGGGTGTTGTTTTCCCAGCTTCTTGGGCATATCTCTGCTCTCCCAGGTACGTGGGTTCTTGGCGAAGCCAGGCTAGAGTTAGCTGACCAACACGTGCAGGGATAGATGAGGCCAGGAGACAGTGACCCCCAAAGAGATCACAGTCTCATGGAGCAGATTATCTAAGGGCCAGGCACCACGACCTGAGAGTAAATGAGGACACGTTTACCTAAATCCTCACACTTCTGAAGTGCAGGTCCCCACAGTGCTCTTGCTGAACTTCAAAGTCTCCCAGATACTCTGTTGCTTACGTGGAACTGTGTGGGGAAGGGGGTCTTCTGCTGAATCTTGAACACAGCTCACATCCTACAACCTGCAGTCTAGGGATGGTCTGGGCTGTGCTGCCCTCCATGCACACCAACAGCTCTGGTAGCAACTGTTTCTCAGCCCCATCCACTAGGCCCTGGTGTATCAGAGCAGGGCTGGATTATGGGTAGAAGAGACTCTAACACTGGGCTATACACTCTCTCCAGGACCCTGAGTGACCTCAGCATGTCCCAGAACTTCTCAGAACCCTTCATGGGAACAGCCTGAGTGCCACCTGGACAGTGGGTACAGACACCATGACATACTTAACATTTTGCTCCAGGTCCACACTCAGTCCAACATGAGTTTCCTATAGCAGAGAGCAAGTGTTAGAGGTATTGCTTGATGGCTTCCTGCAGGAAGGGGGTCAAGTTGGGCCTGTAAGGATAGGGAGCACCTGGCCTGGTGAGCGGTGGAGAGGAAGGCTGCATGGATGGCTAACCTGCACAAGGATGTCAGACTAGAGGGAGGTGAGGGGCCCAAGCTGGCCACAAAAGAAAGGGTGAAAGTCAGGTCGGCATAGAGACGGGGCTGGCATGTCTGTACTACACTATGGGTGCTGGGAGCTCCGCAATGGGGACGGACAGAGCGAGGCCTCAGACGTCTTGGGGTATATACTTCTGGGCTCTTCTCTGGATCTAGCCCAAAGGGCGCTACTCGGCCACTTGGGGCAGGTCCGGGTGGAAGGGCAGGTGCAGGAGGGCCTTCCCCTTTCCCGACTGGGATTTAGGGTGTCTCCATCACGTTCTTTAATCACAGAGCACATGGGACACGTGGGGCGGGGAGGCCAGAGGGAGGGAGAGTCCCCGGTGACTCCAGGCTGAGCGCAGCGCCCGACGTGGGGCTGGACGTCCCCACCCTGACGTCGGGACCCGAACGGAAATCGAGTCCCAGGCCGAGGCCCCAACGCGGGCACCTCTGGACGCCCGGGTCACCCGCAGCACGTGCACCGTGTCCCCATTGACTCTGGAGCGCCGAGCTCCCCAGAGCCTGGTGCACACACACTGCCTGGCACATACGGGGGACGAAAACCCACGCGGTGTCACTGTCCTCAGTCATCCACAACACTGCTCCCAACTCACTGCCGCCCTCGCATCCCCGCGCTCGAGCTCTGGGAGGTCCAACTCCGCCCGGCATTCAAGGCCCACCCCCACCCCCACCCCCACGCCCTGCTTGGCCTAGCCAGCCACAACAGAAAAGGCAAGGGCTACCTCCTGGGCACACCTTCAGGTTGCCAGTGCTAGAAACCGAAACACAGCCGACTTCGGCTCCACGGCAGCACCGGCAAACGTCGACGACACCGGGCAGGTGGGGCCGCCACGAAGCCAGACCCCTCAGCCGTTCCCTCCATTTTGGTTTCCTGCGCAGCGGTCCGGTCACATGACCGCCTGAACCAATGGGGGGCGCCCCAGGGCGCATCACGTGACCACGCTGGGGCGGGGCCAAAGTGTGGGCGGAGCCAGGAGGCGGCGGGGGGCGCCCCCGGGATGGCTGGGCCGTGGCGTTTGGGGTGAAGGGTCAGTATGCCGGGCTTCCCCGACGCCCGTGAGCCCTGCTGTGCGGCGCCGGTCCGAAGTTGCTCCTGTGTCTGGGCCTTGGCTGGTTCGCGTTTCCAAGACCCGAGCCCGCCAGCTTGGGGCCCCCTCCCCGGCCCCCTCCCGGGCCCCCTCCCCGGGGACCCCCTCCTGCCCCTGTGGCCCCGCCGCCTGGCCCCTCCTCTCTGCCTTAGCCCCTCTGGCCGGGTCTCCCACTCTCTGGCCCCGCCCTTCCGACCCAGTCCCCACCCCTCCGGCTCGGCCCGGCCCCTCGGGCCCTGGCCCCGCCTCTCCGGCCCTGGCCCCGCCTCTCTGGCCCGGCCCGCGTGGGGCTCGTAGCACCTGCGGCTTGTCTGGAGAGTCCCTGGACCCTGTCCCCAAGGCCAGGCGGCGCAGAGGACACGCGTTACCTGCTCTGTCTGGGGGGCAGGCGGCCAACATCCCAACCCCATTTAGGAGAAACGGGAAGGTTTCGGCTGGTCGCCTGCCCTGGTGTCTCCTGCCCTCTCCCTGCCCACCTCCCATAGCAGAGGCCCCGAAGGCCCCGAAGGCCCCGAAGGGCACCGCTGCACCCTGCGTGGGGTTGACCATGAGACTTAGGGGAGGTCGGCTCCGGGCTTGGATGCCGGGAGCAGAGCCCAGGAGGTAACCTCTGCCTGTGGCAGAGTGTGGAGTGAGAGCCGATACCTGGAGCTGGTGCAGCCGTCTTACACCGCTGTGGAAGACCCGAGAGAATCTCGGAGATGCCAGCCCAAGTCGCTGAGATAATACAGTCCCCACCCCTCTTTGAGGGTATTGCTGTGTGATTAAGGGGAAAAAGGGACAAGAAAAAAGCCCTTTGTTTAAGCTTGTTATACAGTGGCTTCCGTACTTGGAAGTAACACAATCATCGCTAATAGGCGGAGGCAACAGAAGGTCAGAGGCCTGTCTGGCTGGCAGATGTCCAGGAAGTCTTGTATTCATGACACTGCCACACAGTGGCACTACACAATGTGCTGTCCCCCTCCAGGAAAGTGATGCTGAAGTATCTTATGCAAGACCCCATTCATATGGCAACATCTTCCTCACTTCACTGCCCTCTTCAACCCCTTCCGGTCACCATGGCAACTGGCACCGGAAGTGAGCAGCAAGGATGCATCAGAGAAGATGCAGGCTACAAGCTTAGGAAGGTGGCCTGCACAGCACCAACCTGACCCGCTCTGGCCCCTCAGAGATGTTAGCCCATTCCAGCTGGGTGCACTCCGGCCACCTTCCTGCCTTCTTGGTACCCTTACCGTACATGCGTACCTGCCCGTTAGGGCCAGCAACGGCCTCCGTCATGTTGGAAACATGCCTTGCATCTGTGTCTGCCCTCCCTACTGTCTAGGATACACTGTGCTCCAAGGCGTATGTCATTGGGAGAAAATCTGTCTTCACGGAGTCTCTGGAGAGTTCCTTGCATGGGACCTGGAGTGCATATGAAGTTCTCTTCTACTGCACACTTGTAAATTGCACAGACCGCTGTGCTTATCCCAGCCTTCAAGCTGCTCCATCATCAGCATCCCAGGTGTGGATAGCTAGAACCGAGGGCACAAGTCCGCCGGGGTCGTTGTTCAGGGGCTTGTCAAGATCGGAGGTCCTCTCTCTACAGTGCCCTGTCTTTATTTATTCATTTATTTTTAACTCTTATAGAAAATTTGAAGTATCTGCCACAGTAAATAGTATAATGATTCCATGCACCTATTACCCGCTTCAACAATCTTTGTCGCCAATCTTGTTTCATGTACACTCCCTACTCTTGGATTACTTTGAAGCAAATCCTAGACAATTTATGATTTCATCTATAAATATTTCAGTGTATGTCACTAAAAGTTGATAATTACCTTAAAAGTAACCATGATTATCATACCTTAAAGATTAAACGTAATTCCTAATGTCATGAAATATCCTTCCAATATTCAAAGCTTCCTGATTGTCTCATAACTTCCTTTGCCTGATTGTTCAAATCGGGTTTGTAAAGGAGGGTACTTTGTGATTGGTTCATCTTTCTTTTAAGTCTCTTTGGATCTCTGATTCCCCCTCACCCCACCACCACCTCCTTTTATTTTTAAGTGTGTTTGTTGGAGAGATTGGTTTTTGTCCTGTAAAATTTCTCACAGTCTGGATTTTGATGGTTACATTTCCGCAGTGTTGTTTGCTGTATTTCTTGTAAAACGGTGAGTATGTCTAGAAGTTC